AGGATAGCACATAACAACGTCCCAATCGCAGGATAGGTAAATGATGAAGCTGACACGGAAGATAATACCATCGGTAGGTAATATCATTCGCGCGAGAGGATATCCCACACATCCAATGGCCGTTCTATCTGACAATTGGCCCATGCATATCTGACAACCACCCAAGTTTCTACCTCCGTAATATCATCTGTGAATAGCCATGTTAACCATTATTAAGACTTGAATCCGCCTTATCCGTAATTCATAGTACACGTCTAAGGTATTCCGAAATCTTTCTTTTTGTAACGGTAGAAACATACTATTTCGGTGTTGTTAAGAAATTATTGACTGAATCATCTTAATCTTCATCTATTCTATTTTCAACACCGTATTTAAACTCAGGAAAATATAAGACCCATTATTTCAAGTAAATTTTGTCGATGCCCAACGGCGTTATACTGCGGCTGGTTCAATTGTAGAAATCGCACTGTTACACGGGCTTAATTGAACATGTAGGAAAATCTCAAGAGAATGGGAAATGGTTAGAGTTAAGGAGAGAAGACAAGAACAAGAGAGAAGCAGAAAAGGGAAAAATGATGAGTAATGGCTGGGTACGTGGGAAAGAAGGGGTTGATCTGAATGAGTAATGATGAGAATTTGCGAAACGTGAGTAAAAGCGATCGGAGGCACGGTTTGCATAATATATTAATCCCTTTCGGCAAAAAAGAGGGGAAGAGAGAGAGAGAGAGAGAGAGAGAGAGAGAGAGAGAGAGAGAGAGAGAGAGAGAGAGAGAGAGAGAGAGAGAGAGAGAAGAGAGAGAGAGAGAGAGAGAGAGAGAGAGAGAGGGGAGGAGAGAGAGAGAGAGGGAAGAAGAAAGAGATGGGGAGGGAGAGGCTGAGTAATATTGACGTATCTGATAAGCGCGTAATCCGGATCGTATGACCCCAGGCTCACGCTAGGTAGGCAGCCGCTTTACCCCGTTCGCTCTACGTTTTTCCTGGTCTATAATCATGCTGTTTCATTCAGTATGCGTGCCCCTCATTATCTATCTAATGCCCCGTGTTTGGTTAGGGTAACGTGGGTATGGGAAGCGTGTGAGAACTTAAATTGTGTTATATTTGATTTGATATATGTGTCCGAGGCGAAATGTGTGGCTAGACTGTATACAAATGCCCTGAAAAAGCTGCAAAAACTTAACGACTAAATTTGCGAAAGATATCCATATTCTAGCACTGACCCTTTCAATCTGGATAACAAATACAATTTGCATTTTAGCGACTATTTTACGAAAAAAACAAACTGAATAACAAAACCAACCTGGAACCTATAAATTCACACCAGCAGATGCGAAACGGAACTTATACTGCACATAGATATTATACACTGATGCTAAGAGCTAAAACTGTGAAAGAGTGGAAAAGTTGTGATCCACCAGACTGGACATGGGCACTGTCTACAACTCCTCCTCCGGTCGTGTGCCCAGACTCAAGGCCACTTCAAGCCACTTAGGAGTATGACGGGCAGGACAGGACGGGGTCCTTCCTTCCCTGACAGCGACATATGTCTCCCTCGAGGAAGATATATATATATATATATATATATATATATATATGTATATATATATATATATATATATATATATATATATATATATATATATATATATATATATATATATATATATATATATATATAATCTAACTAGAAACTCCCAGGTAATGTGATATTTCAGAATTTATTTCGTGTTACTAATTGTGCAGTATATCTATGTGCACACGTAAATATATAATATATGTATTATATTATATATATTATATATATATATATATATATATATATATATATATATATATATATATATATATATTATATA